CATCTATTGAAATTTTGCAGGGCGGGAAAAAACGATTACTGGAGTAAGGTCTGTGTCTGTGTGTGTGTGTGGGTGTTTTATCTCCTCTCCTTCGCCATTAATATATACAAAATATGGGAGGCAAAACAATCGTATTTTCCTCAGGTTCTAGGCGAGGGTAGAAAGGGATTTTACCCTTATAGACTGTGGGGGAACAGAGGGGGGGGGTGAGGGGGGGTGATTTTACCCAACCTTCAGGAGAGTTCTGGACAAATAGGATTTAATCGACACATACAGATTACTAGTACATCTCAAAATAAAAAAAATAAAATACAATAAAAATCCGTCTCAGTTTCTCACAAACAAATAAAAGCAGATTGAGAACAAAATCCCTGCTAGTTGAGACTATTATTAAACTTCCCTTGTGCTCCTATTACCCTCAAGGGACACCTTGTTTCAGGCACTGACGTAGGTGGCTGCCGCAAATTAATTGTTTCAGCAAAGGAATTCGTTTTTCTTTTTTTTTTTCTCTCTACTGTGATGTAACTATTTTTAGCTCCAGTCATTGTACAGCCAAGAGGTTGGTAAGTTCTTTTTGTGTCACGTACTCTCCTCCTTCTCCTCCGGTTTTTTGTGTGTGTGTGTTTGTGTGTTTTTTCGTCTTTCTGTTTTGTTATTTTCTCATTTTCTTTATCTGTTTCTTTTTTCTGTATTTTTTTTCTATCATACTAGTTTAAGTTATCACCTCCCTGCTCTTTCTCTCTCTCTCTCTCCAGTAAAGCAAAAAATTTTGACTGGAAATCCGTTCTCTGGGTCGAGGATATCACTTACGTAACGAATATATTGATGATGGAGTCGCTCCCCAAATGTCCCCTGCTTCCCCTCCTCCTGTTGCCCCTCACCCCTGTCGCCCCTCACCCTTGTCGCCCCCCTCACCCCTGTCATCACCCCTGTTGCTCCCTCCCACCCCTTGTTGCCCTCACCCCCTGTCGCCCTCCACCCCTGTGCCCCTCCCCCCTGTGCCCCCTGTCGCCTTCTCGCCCTCACCCCTGTCGCCTCACCCCTGTCGCCCCTCACCTCTGTTGCCCCTCACCCTGTCGCCCTCACCCTGTCACTCACCCCTGTCGCCCCTCACCTCTGTTGCCCCCTCCCCTGTCGCCCTCATCCTGTCGCCCCTCACCCCTCAGGGCCTCCTGTCCCTAGTATCTTGTCACTCTTATCTAAATCTACCAGCCCACTTGCCCTCCCATCTTCTCTCCCTCTACCCTCCCTTCCTCTTTCTTCTTCTCCCTCTTCTCTACCCTCCTCCCTCCTTCCTCCCTCTCCCTCCTCCTCCTCTCTCTCTCTTTCCCATCCTTCCCTCTCCTCCTCCTTCTCTCTCTCTCTCTCTCTACCACTCTTCTGCCTCCTTTTTCTCTCTCTTCCACAACCATCCTCCCCCCCCCCACCTGCATCTCCCTCCTTCCCTCCTTCATTTCCTTCCTTCTCTACTCTCTTTCTTGCTTCTCCTTAACTTATTTCACCTGGATATTAACCAGTTTAAAGTTACCTGGACGAGAGGTTAGGTTACTGTAGGTTAGGTTAGGTTAGGTTAGAATTTATTAGGTATGGAAGATAGAGGAAGGAAGAGAGGGAACGAAGTGGAGGGAAGAAAGAAGAGAGGAGGAGGAGGAGGAGGAGAGGGATAGTGTAGGAAGGAAGAAGAGGGAAGGGAAAGAAGTGGAGGGGAGGGAGAGAGGGAGTGGGAGGGGGAGGGGGGGCTCTGAACCACCAAGTCCTTCCCCCGGTTTTCCACTCCTGTAAAAAACTCGGATTAAAAGTTGGGTCAGCTAAAACTTTGGTTAGTACAACGTTGAGAGCCTGAGCCCTATTGGTGGGTACACTCGCCACAGAGAGAGAGAGAGAGAGAGAGAGAGAGAGAGAACACCCAGAGACTTAGAAATTTCTCTAAACAACAAGACCTTCCTTCCCTAAGACCGTGAGGGACAGTGGTGGACCAAGAGATTCTTCCCCGACTCCCACACTCAATAGCTACGTAACATGATCCTCCTCCCTAGTTTTCTTTAGGAGGAAGGGGCAGGGGGAGGAAGGGGGGGAGGGGGAGGAAGGGGGGGAGGGTGGGAGGGCATGAGAGAGATATACGTTCGTTCCATATTCTATTATTATTATTTTGTTATTATTATTTCTACAACAACAACAACTATTACTGCTACTAATACTTCTACACAAAAAAATCAACAAGTACTACTACTACTACTACTACTAACGACATAATCACCCAGTCAGAAGCTTAACCATTTTAAAATTACGTGTTGGGAGGTTATTGAACTAAATCCCGTACGTGTGTGTGTGTGTGTGTGTGTGTGTGTGTGTGTGTGCACAGGGTGGTGTAATGCATCTAGTGTGGCAGCATTACGTAAGTGTCAAGGTGCAAACACTGCTTGCTTCCTCTCGCTTTCAGCTACCGACGCTGGCTAGCCCTCGTGGCGAACAGGTAAGCAACTTGCATAAGTCTTCCCCTGCCAGTACACAGCCTCTTCACCATCAAGACTCCTGTTGTGCCTCCTCGTGGCCACACCCGGTAACTGGGTGCCTCTTGGGCCCAGGCTAGACCAGCATGGGATCTCGGAGCAGCAGTGGGCCCCAGAGGGACGGCACACAGGCCCACTGGCATGTGGACACATCCTGGCGCCTCCCAACCACTGCCCCGCTGCTTTGCGGATTAACCTTGCTAGGTATAAGGCTACGGGAGTAAACCCCGAACGAAAAATCTGCGGTGGAGCCCCGCACCGGGCAGACATGCTTACAGAGCTCCATCAAGACCACAACGGTGGCATAGGCGGAAGAGGTGACCACCATGGGAACCCAACGACTACACCGGCGGATGAAGGCAATGCCTGATGGACAGGCTACTAAGGCGAAACCAAAGAAACTGGGCTATCGGCAGTCCATTGCAACTCTCCCTCTCCCCAGTCGTTGCAACACTTGTACCTCTGGATCAGGAAAAGGGAGAGCTAAGATGTGTGGTTGCAGCCTGCGCTCCTGCCTCACCACATAAATCAACTCGTGTGCTGCCAGCACCCAGCTCATCTTACCATTTATCATCATCAAAACCCCTATACTCCCAAAAGTCCTATGGCGACGGACGAGTGGCGACGGGGACAGGCAGAGATGACTGCCGGGAGTCTCTAGTCACAACTCTGCGCATGGGCGGCACAAAGAAGATGGTCGTTTCTGCACTGGGATCTAGGCAGGTTAGGTTAGGTTAGGTTAGAATAAGTTAAATCAACCTAACCTTACTACCTAACTTAATCTAATCAAACTAATTCCAAACCAATCCTAACCTAACCTAACCATACCCTAACCAACATAATCTGCATTTAGCTAAACCAAACCAAACAAAACCCACATTAACTCAACCCAACCTAACCAAACCCAACCCCAAAAGCAACCAAACCAATTCGGGAAAAAAAAATAAAAATTCAGAGTGACAATTTATGAGTTAAAGGCAGAAGACCCGTGTGACATGAGGTAGCAGGGTACCCAAGCTTGTCCTCTACAGGCTGAGAGTAGGAAAAAAACATGTGTGGACGGATTACCCGACTGTGTGTAGTGTGAGGGGAAGGTAAGAGGAGGCGTGTGGATCCAGTACTGCGAAGGCTATAGTATGTTGGTCAAGTAGAAGCGAAGGGCTGGGTTGGTGCAGCAGTCAGTGAGGAGAGGTGTGTGTGTGTTACTGTAGGTGGGAGGTGTTAAGGTCAATAGGGGAAAGAGTGAGTTACTGGGGTGAGGTAGAGGGGAGGGAGTAGTGTACTAGGTGTGGTATAATATGGGGTGTAATAGAGAGAGAGAGAGAGAGAGAGACGCGACTGGATGTTGAAACTTTATATCTCACTATTATACAATACACACAAACTTAAATATAACCCCTAAATAACCTTCAATGACAAAATATTATAAAGTAGACATATACACGAGAGATAAACAATTATATATGGTTTTTTATATGAACGAATAGACAAATTATCAGATATGGATAAAGCTAATAAGTGAATATCGATATGAATTACGATATGAATAAAAATGAATAATTATCTTCATATGACACGATAATGAAAACCCACAAGCGTTGAATTACAAACTACTAACACAAGAGATTAATATTATATAATTACAAACCCACACCATAACCCACGACAACAGAGGAACTAATGACCCACCGCCTACCCTCCTCAAAATAAGCCCCAATTCTGTGTATATTTAGGAACAATTCTCTAATTCTGTTTCTATAATATAATTCCATGTGAAGTAAAACGACCATCTAAAAATAACTCACTAGAAGTTACAAATAATTACAGCTGTAGTGAGTGTGAGTTTTATTTTATTTTTTAGTACGTTACAGCGTGTGAGTCTAGTCAATTACAATGATTATACCAAAACGTTTTTGTTCTTCAGAATGACGTCACACTCAGCGTTGTCAAGGATGTGAAATGAATGTATAATTTCTACCACTTCTGACTCTAATGGAAAAGAATACACACACATTCATAAAATCCACGTTATTTTTTTTTTTTTAGGTGGGGGGGGGGTTGTTACCAAGCAACTTGGGTAGCCCAAACTCTTTCTTACTTTACAATTATAAGTGTTTTATTTTATTTTGTTTGGCGCAAGAGGCATATTATTGTTATTTTTTGGGAAGTGGAACTAACCCAATGACGAATTATTGAAGATTATTGTCGACCTCATTATTATATCACTGTGTGTGTGTGTGTGTGTGTGTGTGTGTGTGTGTGTGTGTGTGTGTGTGTGTGTGTGTGTGTGTTTTCATCACCACCACTACTCCACCACACCTTATATCAATATGACCACCACCATCATCACCATCACTGTATACCTACTAGAAGAGTTTCATTTTCCTGCATCATCCTTTCAATAACATCTATGACTATTTTCTTATTTAGGTCTCTTATCTATCCATCTAAAACATGTATACTCCAACCTTGTCTCTCTCTCCCCCACAGCACAAGGCGGCTGTAGGCTTGGACCGCACGAGTACAGAGTGGGAGAGGTCTGGCATCCCCGACTCCGTAACTCTCAGTCGAACTACTGTGTCACCTGCCGCTGTATTTTGGTGAGTTACCTTACCACTACTGCCACGTCCTTCTTCTTGTAAAATGTTAATTGTTAGTAGAAAGGCCTTAATGTTGGTTGGTATTTTGGCGATATATAGCAGAGTTGTATTGCTAATGTGGGTTTTTTTTTTTAAGTTGTCAATGAATTAGTCTTGTTGAATAGGCTTAAATATATTTGTTATTCTTCTGGTGAACTTGACCGGGAATATCGGAAAACCTGGAGTTTTAATTTCTTAAGAAGGAATCAAAACAAATATTTCTTACGTTCAGGGGATTTGTTGGAAATAGTTTTATATAATAATAATAATAATAATAATAATAATAATAATAATAATAATAATAATAATAATAATAATAATAATAATAATAATAATAATAATAATAATAATAATAATAATTAGCTACAGATACTACTAAAAATAATTATAATAAAAGTACACATAATATAGCTTCAGTAAGATGGCTGTAGTGTTGATGACAACTTTACTTATCAAATGGCAACACAACTTACCATACACAGGAATCTTTCTCATTGCTGTAGTTTTTACCTTAAATCCAAGAGAAACTGGAACTAAGCATTTGCTGATTTAATGAGTTATATCTTTGATCGAATCATTTCATTATTTACTTTTGTTTGCATACCTATACTGCCTATGTACATTGTTTGTACACATACACTGTCTATGTGCAATGTTTGTATACCTACACTGTATATGTACGTTGTCTGTATACCTACACTGTATATGTACATTGTTTGTACACCTACTGTACACTATCTATGTGCATTGTTTGTATACCTACACTGTATATGTACGTTGTTTGTACATCTGCAGTGTGTATGTACAGTTGGGGACATTTCCGACTGGTACATTCAGCGTTGTCAATCCACCCTCTCCGTGAGGGGTGAACCCAGAGAGTAGCGACTTGTGAATCCGAAGCATTATAGAGAGGAGGGCCGGAGGGTGAAGGGATGGTGTGTGAGCGAGTGGCGGTTTATAGGTGTTGAAGAGGGTTTTCGGGGCTAGAAGGGTAGGATGGTGTTAGGGAGTTACTTGTGCAGCTACAACACAGTATTTATTATGCAAGGGAATAACAACGAAGTGAAAAACACAAAGTACAGTATGCTTACAATGTGTTACCGCACTTTAGGGATGTATTCCCAGCTTGTGCTACAGATCTGAGAAATTCTGTGCATGTTTATTGTTGTTTTTATCTGTTTATGTAACTCTCACGTAATCTAGAAGTGACAGAGGGAGTGGCTGGAGTCTCAACATGGCGTCCTTTTATGGCAGATTAACTTTTAAAACCCAATAAATACAGGATGTATGTCATTATATTTTCAGAAGCATTAAATTAATAATATTATGCAATTTACAAGAAAAACATAACCCAGGTTTTGGTAAACTATGTCTGTTAGAAATAACATAACAGTGAGGGAATTCTAAATATTTATTCACACGATTTTTTTTTCTTTTTTTTTTCCTGCACCTCACCAAAGGCGCTGTAAAATGTCACGCAATCAAGAAAGCTGAAAGATTATGTCAACTTATTTTCCTTCTGTTTTTTTTTCAATCATAGTTGGAAGTATGGCTAGTGGATGGTTGACGTGTATTATAACCTTCCCTGCAGTAGGTATTGTAGCTGATGGCTATTTTATATTGTATTTTTTTGAGGAGGGGGAGGAGGAGGAGGAGGGTGGAGGGGGATACATATTATTAGAAAGTTTAATAAGATATTTAATAATTGTATCCAAGGAAAGAGTTGATGAAGGATACTTGGAAAACACATAGTAGGGATGTGTCTCGTTAACGATGATCCATAACGATAACACATACAACAACGACAACAACAACAACAACAACAACTACAACTACTTCAACAACAACAACAACAACAACAACAACTACAATAACAACAACAATAACAACTACAACTACTTCAACAACAACAAATACTACAACAACAACAACAACAACAACAACTACTACAACAACAACAGCAACAACAAATACTACAACAACAACAACAACAACTACTACAACAACTGTGACAAGAGAACTCGCCGCTCCCCAGAAAAGAGAACGCTTGGGTTAGGTTAGGCTACGTTAGGTTTGGTTAGGTTATGTAAAGTAAGGATAGGCTAGGTTAGGTTACATAAGGTTAGGTTAGGTTACGTTAGGTTTGGTTAGGTTATGTAAAGTAAGGATAGGCTAGGTTAGGTTACATAAGGTTAGGTTAGGTTACGTTAGGTTTGGTTAGGTTATGTAAAGTAAGGATAGGCTAGTTTAGGTTACATAAGGTTAGGTTAGGTTAGGTGAGTTTTTTTCACAGATGCCGTAAACTGAACTCATAAGTAGTAATAATCCATCAGAGGAAGATTTTATACAATGGTTGTAGTCACAGGAGATCGTAAGGTTGATAACTGGTGCAAATTATGATTAAGTTTTAGCATTTTTTTTTTTTGCATAATGTTACAGGGCGTTGTTGTTGTTGTTGTTGGTGTGTGTGTGTGTGTGTGTGTGTGTGTGTGTGTGTGTGTGTGTGTGTGTGTGTGTGTGTGTGTGTGTGTGTGTGGGGAACAACAAAAACTCTCTCTTATCCAAAAAAAAATATAGGATACTGTATAGAAACGAATCTGTTAATACCTCAGTTATGTGGCAAGTTTTTTCTTTCAGTACAATCCATACCAGTTGTCTTATAACTTTTCATATACAGATACTTAGAAAAGGAAGCAAAAAAGATAAAAAATAATAAAAAAAAAGGAAAAAGCAAGAAAACCCGAGAGAATATAAATGTGAGATGAAGTTTGACATATTTTTTTCTGGTGATTTTTTTGAGTCATATTTTGCCTCGACCCTGAGAGTTTGGTGGAGATGGTGGTGGTAGGTGGTAGGTGGTAGGTGGTAGTGGTAGGTGGTAGGTAGTAGTGGTAGGTGGTAGGTGGTAGTGGTAGGTGGTAGGTGGGGTGGGGTGGGGTGTGTCAGTGCCATCTATGTTATCATTGCACGATGACAACTGTATATCTTTTACCTGTATCCGTTGATTGTGAGAAATATCCCTACCTCTCTTTTTACATATACCTCCCCTTTTTTCACTTAAATCTTCCTTCCTTCCTTCCTTCCTTCCTTCCTTCTCTCACTCTCACCCCCTTACCTTATTCTTCCTCCTTCACCACTTCCTTCATTTACCATTTACTTATAACTCTCCAAATCTTCTTCCTCCTCCTCATCCCTAACACTTTATCTTTCTTCTCCTACTTCCTCCTCCTTTCCTATTTACCTCACCTCTCAATCTCCCTTCCCTTACCCCGCCACCACCTCACCCTCCTTCCCGTACCTCTCCCTCATCGCATCCCTCCCTCCCCTTCCCCCCCTTTACATCAACCTACCGACCCACTCCCTCCTTCTACCTTATCTCCCCTACACTGTACATAGGAGAAGGGGGAAGGGAGGAAAGGGAGGAGAGGAAAGGTATGGGAAGGAGGAATGGGAGAGAGAGAGAGAGATGGGAGGGGATGGTTGAGACGGTCCCTGATTTAAAACGGAATTTTCTTAAAATGCGAAACTAGGGGATGAAGGGAGGGGAGGGATGGTGGAGGAGGAGGATGGAGAGGGGGGAAGGGAAGGAGGAAGGAAGAAAGGAGAAAGGGGTGGGGAGGACCCCACCTGCACCGTAAAGGGTACGAACCAATCTATCATCCTCTGCCAACCTGTTGAACGTGATTCTTTACACCAAGAACCAAATGACGAGACGGAGGGTGGGGTAAGGGGTGGGTGGTAAGGGTGGGGGGGGTGGGGTGGGGGTGGGGTGGGGCAGGGAGGGATGGGGAGGGGGAGAGGGAGGGAGGAGGCAGGAGGATGGGGCAGGAGGGGATGGGTGGGGAGGAGTTAAGATGGCCCTCCCCTATCATTGTCCCTCTAATCTGGTTAAAGCAAATTTGAGGCTTTCAGGGGAGGAATGTGTGGACGTAGCTTCCTGGTTCTCTAGTTGTGTGTGTGTGTGTGTGTGTGTGTGTGTGTGTGTGTGTGTGTGTGTGTGTGTATGCCATATAGTACAAATGCCCTCAAATAGGATTCATGGCATTATTGTTTCGCCCGAGGTATCAGATATGGGGACCTGGATGGTGGCCAAGGAGGAGACACATCAAGTTATAGTTAGGTGTGGGTCAGAGGTCAAGGGTCAAAGGTCATACTCGAGGTCAAGGGTGAAAAGGTCAGCTTGGTAGACACCGACATAATATTTTTTTTCTCGTAAATCTTCTACGCCCTTAACTCATGAGACATAAAGGCAAGCATGAACTTAGCATGCTTCCCTGTTGGGCGCTGTAAACGCTTCTGCGCTTCACCTTACACAAGGATGTAGAGGAGTGTCCAGTAAATAAATAAAAAAAAATAAAAAAAATGGTTTCTTGTTGTTCCCTTACACACACACATCATCATCATCATCATCATCATCACCATCATCATCATCATCATCATCATCACCACCATCATCATCATCATCACCATCATCACCATCATCATCATCATCACTGAAATAAATTCCAGCTTAATTCACCAGATGATTAGACACATAATGCTATCAGTGGGGGGGGAGATTACCCCACCAAGGCTCACTCCCACCAAGGCTCACCCCACCTCAAGGTGCTCACCCCCACCAAGGCTCAACAGGCCCACCAGGCCCCCCCACCAAGGCTCTCACCACCCCCACCAAGGCTCACCCCCACCAAGGCTCACCCCACCAAGGCTCACCCCCCACCAAGGCTCAACCCCCACCAAGGCTCACCTCACCAAGGCTCACCCCCACTCAAGGCTCACCCCCACCAAGGCTCACCCCCACCAAGGCTCACCCCCACCAAGGCTCACCCCCACCAAGGTAGACATCTCTCGTTGATTGGGTCCACTTGGTCCAACTCCAAGACACGCAGGAATGACGTCATCGACTCTCTCCGACCAATCAGGATAAAGGGATCAGGTCTCTCCGGTTTTGATTGGTTCTC